GCCACAAACTTGTTTAAGCACTTGAAAAGAAGCCATCCCAAACAATGCAATGACAGCCAGCTGGCAGCTAAAGCTAAAAAGCCTGCGGCGGCAGCGGCTAGTGCTTCTTCCAGGCAGCAAACGCTAACATAAACACTCACAAAACTCACTCCCTACGACAGAGACAGCAGACGATGGAACAGCGTGACAGATGCAGTGACGTACCACTTGGTTAAAGATTTGTGTCCCGTGCGAACAGTAGGAGTGGGTCAAAGAGCGGGTCAATTGAGCCTCGGAGTCCTTCTCCACCCATGTATCAATTTTAAAAAATGCAACATTAGTAGGCGTTGCCTGGAGGACCGAGAGGGCGGAGCCGCGGCAGTGACGAAGACGATGGCTAACTAGACGAAGCTAGCTCCCTTTACTCTGAGCAGTTATTAGAAGTGGAGGACGTTTCTCCCCCTCCTTACCCAGACACTTGAGAAGAAAGGGACCAAGTCTATTTGGAGGAGACAAGCGGACCTGAGCCTTATTGTTTTGAGCTTGTGAGTTGCCTGAAACTCCCAGAACCGACCCAACAGAACCATCTCTGAAATGTAAGTAGCCGTTAGCCATAGCATTGGATTAGCTGCAGTGTTTGGCTCCACGGCCCTAAAAAGCTAGTATTCAGCATGTTTTAGAGGTTTATCTGCTTCAGCACACCTGGTTTTAATCAGCAACAAATAGCTGAGCTGCTTAACAGCTAATCTAACCTGTTAAAGTAGGAAAATCCACTGAAACGTGCTGGATAGCAGCTCTCCGGTAGCTCTGGGCTCAAGTTACAGTCTGCTGCATATAAAGTTATGAAAATACCCCATGAGAAAATTATTCTGTAATGTGTTCAGCTCACTAAAACTGCCCTGATTTATTTATTTACTGATAACAGCTGCTCTCTTGGTTCTAGGTCCTCTGGTGTCTGCAGCTGGTCTGGTGTCGTCAGGATCAGGAGCTTCCAGAAGAATGTGCCTTTCAATGACTCTTTCCCGCTTATTTGTTATATTAATTAAATAAATCTCAATTTATATATTTCCTGTTTTTGTTTATGTCCATAAATACTTAAACATGCTTGAAATTAAAACGAGCTTTTAACAGTGAGGTGCTAGTTTAATTAATCACAATAGAGCTAGTTAAGCATGCAACAAAAATGTGATAATCAATGTAATTTATAAATATCCATTAAAATATCAAAACTGGAATCTATATGAGATATTTGGCAGCACAAAAAACTTGTCAAACACAATATTTATTATAATAATTGTAGGCAGACAGGAGACAGAGCTGATGGAGGTTCTCAGTCATCGAAGGATGGCTGAAGGCTTTCCAGGAACAGGAGATGTGGTGTTGTCTCTTCTCTCTCTATTCTGCCAGATGAGCTGATAGGTTACAGGTGTGTGAGGACATCCTCTTGCTGTCACAACCAGATGACAGGAGTTATCAGGTGATCAGCCAGGCTAATGAGATGCAGAAAGAAAACAAATTCAGGACAGTGTACAATATGTGGTGTTGCTCACCTTATGTGCTCTTATAGAGTTATTAACGTGTGCCTGCCTCATGGTGTAGAGTCCATATTTTGCTGAGTGTCCTGCAATAATGCAGGTTATTAGTTAATTTACTTTTGAAGGCAAAAACAAAATATTTAATGTAAAAGTTATTTTCCAGGTGAATCAGCTCACACGTCACCACCAAGTGTCACGGGGGCAGAATCAGTAGCCTCCGTCATGATGTAATCACATACTTATTTAATTGTTAATATCTTAAAAATTCTGAGATGTTTTAATTTTTTTTTTTTACCTTGAACTGTTCACTGAGCTTGCACTGTCACTGAGGTGGAAGCTGGAATCAACAGCAGACACCTCACACCTTGGTCTTTTCAGGGGGTGTGGCCGCTGCTCTGAGACTTTCTGGAAGATGAATTTTCATCATGGTCCCCGTGGGTCACAAGACACACTGCGGCTGTGAGCTCTAAACTGGCTGGCTATGTAAAAACAAAGAAGCAGCACATTTATAAATGTTTAAAAGAGCATAAAATCACGTGTAACAATAATCTGTAAAACAAATTAAAACTAGAAGGTAATAATAAAATGTTTACATAGAAGATTATTAAAAATAATTCACCTTTGCTACAGGGAAGGTTTCACGTCAGCCTGGACAAGTGCATTCTTGCAGCTAAATCAGTCTGACAGCCAGTGTCTTGGGTAGATTTAGCCTGAAAAAAAAATATACAAGCACATTGTTGTTGGGAGTTTATAAAGTCAGATAATATACAAAAGAATCTCCTATATAGGCGCTTTATAACATTCCTAGTGTGTGATCGTTGTTATAACGTAAAAGTCAGTCATATATGATGTGGAGAGCCTGAAATGTGACCTCCTGAGCAGAATTCCTTACAGAACCAGGTCACAAGCTGGATTTCACGCTGTAATGCTGTCTGTCAACTAGTGCTGCGTCAGTTAGAGCCACTGTTGCAGAATTACCGACTGACTAGCTAAAGGAAGTGAACCACGTCCCTCAGACTTTGCATTTAGGTAGGAAATTGTCTTTAGAAGATGTTAAAACGTTTACTTAGCTTACTCACCTCAGACTGGAGCCCGCCGTAGTGGGGGAGCAGAGTCGGTGGGCTGCATCTAAATCGCGGAAGAGCCACGGTGGGCAGCCTCCCACTTCAAACGGAGACGTGCAGAATCGCGGGTAAAATGCCCACAGAGTCACCGCAAGCATACTACACTACACCTACTCACTAATACTAAGACGATATGGAACACTAAACCCGAACTACTTTCCCAATTACACTAACAGCCAAACACTAACTAAACTACAATATCCAACAGCCAAGCTAACACTAAATAAGAATTTATAACACTAAAAGCTATGCTAAAGACTAGGATATGCTAATGCTATATTCTAATGCTGAACTACCGCTGACCTCCTACGCTCGCTTGCAAATCCAACTCCCCCTCGCCACAGGGCGTGGCCGAGACGCTCGTTGCTTTTATAACTTTGGCACAGAGCTGCTACGTAGTACTCTACTGGTTTACGTAGTACTTTACTCTTTAGCCATTGGCTAAAATTTATTCAAAATGACTCAAATTCTATGTTTTCAGCTGAAGGTGGCGCATTACTGTGGTTTTTAGACAGAATTTTTAATTTTTAAAGAAAATGCACCAAAATGCTAAAATAAAGAATGCACACATTTAAAACACTATTAGACACTCATTTATACAGTTCATCAGCAAAAAAAAGTTAATTTAGACGTTACTTGCTCTTTAAGAAAATGATAAAAACATTGGATCCGCGCTACGAGTTTTCCAGCCGCAAGTATTTTTCGAACATCGCCATTCCACGCATGTACGCTGAATGCAAAGTGAGAGTTGCAGAAAATATTCAGAATGCGCAGTTTTTTGCTACCACAAGCGATCTCTGGTCCAGCCGCACATCAGAGCCGTATTTGAGCTTAACTATCCACTACATGAGCAACTGGGAGCTACATAGTATTTTGAACAAGTTAATGTTTGCACAATACGTTTTCAATTGACATGTTTGCTCATTAAATATGTTTACGATTTTAATTTATGTTAAGTTACTTGAAAAACGAGAAAAACTGATTTTTGTAATTGTTTCTCTCAGGGCTTTTATCATCTCTGGTGTGAGTTTAAAATAAAAGTGTGTTAGCACTGTGTTGATTATCCCTAATATGAATAAATGTTTATTTATTCAATGTTTCTCTTCTTTAATACGCAATTGAAGTTATGCTATTCATGGATAAAAAATCGTGATAAAATCGAAATCGTGATAAAATATTGGAAAAATCGTGATATTCTATTTTTGCCATATCGCCCAGCCCTACTAGAGCAGCACTTTCATGAACAAGAGCTGTTGCTTTTTGTCGTAATTATGGAAATTAAATGTCTGTATGATGCCATCAGTTAAAAAAATCATCCAGACATTTAAAATTATAGAGCACGCCGGGAGGATTTGGAGGGGGGTATGCAGAGATCTTCATGGAGTTAACTAATTTGGTTAACTCAGGCAGAGATGAGGCTGAGGGAGGGATGCTAGACCTAACCTTGTTAACTTTGACAACAAATATTGACAAAATGTCTTCAGTCTACATCAGAGTGAAAGGTGGCTGTAGGTGAAGCAGCAGAGACTATACTGCTGATGGTGCTAAACAGGAGGTCACTTCATGAGGTTAGAAGATCATTTAGATGCAGCAGATGGACATGGAGATGAGTTCTTCCACAAGTGCTCAATTTTTCTGCATCGGTGCTTAAAGCTGCAAATTCTGTCAACCAGGGAGTAGGGTTCACTGCAGGACCTGATCTGGTTCTGACAGGGCGTTTAGATTTCAGATCACCATCGAATTTTCTTAAACTAGTCTGTTTCTGCGGCCCCACATACTGATTTCCATCTGGTTAGATCTCGTTTTCTTAATGAGAGCACAGCTAGCACATTTTCTGCTGCTTTTGATCCACCCTGTTCTTCTGATGATGACCCAGATTCCTTCACTTTTCAGTTTAACGAGGACAACATCTGTCCTGTCAGAACCAGATCAGTTCCTGCAGTGAACCCTACTCCCTGGTTTAACGACATCAAGCACCAATGCAGAAAAAAAGAAGGCTTGTGAAAGAACAAGGCAAAGCAAAAGGGAACCCCAAGGTGCCGTTTAACCCAATCAGCAGCATTATCTCTCTTGCTTCTCCTACAGCCTCCATCCACTCTGATACAGACTGTGACAACTTTGGCGGAGGTAAATACACCATATCATGGATCAGGTATCTGGTCAGGGATCAGACTTATCTTGTTCTGATTCCCTGTCCTCACCTTTTCACCGTGGTAACAGCTGTCCACCTCTCAGCTGATTGTCTTGTTCAGTCTATCATTCAAACAGAACCTGGCTGTAGCTCCACTCACCTTCCAGTCTACAGGTGTAGTTTGATATTTGTGATCAGTGTTATTCACCCGTGTGTTTGTGTATCTTTCAGGGGTCCTGAAGACACGTGTTTTGAAGGAGGTGTGTTTCCTGCCGTCCTTAGTTTCCCATCTGATTATCCTCTCAGTCCTCCGAAGATGAGGTTCACATGTGACATGTTTCACCCCAACAGTAAGTCCACCTGCAGGCTCCGCCCCCTTACCTGTGACATGTTTAATCCCAACATTAAATCCACCTGCAGGCTCCGCCCCCTTACCTGTGACATGTTTTATCCCAACATTAAATCCACCTGCAGGCTCCGCCCCCTTACCTGTGACATGTTTTATCCCAACATTAAATCCACCTGCAGGCTCCGCCCCCTTACCTGTGATACGTTTAATCCCAACAGTAAATCCACCGGTAGGCACCGCCCCTTTACCTGTGACACATTTAATCCCAAAAGTAAGTCCACCTGCAGGCTCCGCCCCCATACCTGTGACATGTTAAATCTCAACCGTAAATTCTCCTGTAGGCTCCGCCCCTTTTCCTGTGACACGTTTAATCCCAAAAGTCAGTCCACCTGCAGGCTCCGCCCCCTTACCTGTGACATGTTTAATCCCAAAAGTGAGTCGACTGGCAGGCTCCACCCCCTTACCTGTGACATGTTTAATCCCAACAGTAAGTCCGCCTGTAGGCTCCGCCCCCTTACCCATGGCATGTTTCTTCTGATTCTAGTTGTCCTCTCATTTAACATGACCAGTTGGTTGGCCCACTCACAGAGACCCTCTTTCAGAACCTTTAATTGGACCTGTCAGAACACGCCTCGTTAGCCAACCGTTTCATTAGCTCTGATTAGTGGGCAGATGCTGTGATGTCACAGCTCACTCTAGCTCACCCTCAGTACTGATTATAGGACAGAGGTTTTGGTTAGAACCCATCATCATGAGAACCTCCTGCTGCAGCCGGATCACCTCATCCTGAAGCACCCTGAGTAAACAGCAGAAGAGGCAATAATAATGATAATAATAACAATGACCTGAACTTCAACTGGAATATTTACTTTGTGAAGTGGGAGGATAGTTTTGAATTGGGGCTATACAAATATACTTAACTGAACTGGATTAAACTCAGTCAGGTGTCCTACAGAAATGTGGTCCAATCAGAACCAGTCCCGATAGACCTAGGTGTTTACTGCCTGATAGACATTTAGGTTGTGAGTGAGGACCGACCGGTGTGATGGTATAAAACGTGACACCTGTGAACTTGTAGAATCAAGTAGGATTGGATTGGATCAGCTGATAGGATCCAATGAAACTGGAATAATGAGAATCTGGTGCAAAAGTTCATTTATGTCAGAATTTTAATCAAAAACGTGAAATTAATCTATGAAATACTCATTCCATGCAAAGCCAGATATTTCAAGCATTTTTCTACAGAAAAATAAAACTGTGCTGCCAGTTTCATCACTGCTTGTTTCTCCTGAGTTTGTCAGAACCGGCTCTCATCACATTAGCTTCACAGCTATGATGCTCTAGCCTGGCCCGCCAGACTCCTCCTCTGGTTAATTCTGCACAGAGAACGGGTCTGGGATCTTTCCTGTTCAAATAGCCCCACCCCCTGAGAATTCTAACCGAGCCAATCAGTGCTGAGCAGTGTACGTCACACCACAACGCAGAGTTTGTCATAAATATGTCGACTGAAGCAGAGTTCGCTACGGCTCTTTCCTCTGGTCTAAATGACTTGATGAGTCTGGCAGGCCAAGCTAGAAGAAGAAGAAGAAAATATCATTTCTATAGCGCCTCTCAAGATAAAAATCGCGAGGCGCTTCACAAAAACAAAAAATGTAAAAATACAAAAAATAATTTAGAAAATGGTTAAAAATATATTTGAAATGAGCAAAAGACAGACAATTGTGATTAAAAAAAAGTAATAGGAAATAGGGAAATCAGCGGATCCTGAGGAAGGTGGAATAGGTGGGGAGAGCAGAATAAAGAGAGAGTGGTGAAGAAGGTCATACAAAAGCCAGCTTGAACAAGTGAGTCTTCAGCTGCTTTTTAAAGGAATCCACTGAGTCCACTGATCTCAGGCTCAGGGGGAGAGAGTTCCAGAGTCTGGGGACCACAGCAGCAAATTATCTGTCACCTTTGACCTTTAGCCTGGTGCTGCACAACCAGTAGGCTTTGGTCACTCGACCTCAGGGACCTGCTGGGGGTGTAGGGACTAAGAAGATCACCAATGTAAGATGGTGCTTGTCCATGTAAGGCCCCATAGACCAGAACCAGGATCTTGAAATCCTAATAATGGCTAATGATGCTAGCCAAACTACGTCCATACGACTGAACTGTTTTCAACGACTAACCATACTAAACTTTACAACTTTGGTCATTCCAGTCTACCCTGATGGCAGAGTGTGCATCTCCATCCTCCATGCCCCAGGGGACGATCCAATGGGTTATGAGAGCAGTGCAGAAAGGTGGAGCCCAGTCCAGAGTGTGGAGAAGATCCTGTTGTCTGTGGTCAGCATGTTGGCAGGTAGACAAACACACCTGCTACACATGTCACATGTTATACACGCACCTGTTACATCATTGCTACATGTTAAACATCCACCTGTTACATGATTAAAACACCTATTCCACGGTACACACACCAGCTACCAAGGTATTGCCGTGCAGGGGTGGGGGTGGGCGGTTTGTGTCATTTTGTTAAGCAATTTCTGTCATGAATCCTTACAAAAATATTCTAAAACTCTATTTAACCAGAAAGGACCCATTTAGATAAAACCCCTAATTTTCAATGGAGTCCTGGCCAAGAAGCAGCAAAAGTTACAGCAAAAGCTTTATTACGTTTAAAACATGCACCGCTACACACCTTTTACGGGTTTAACACACACCTGTCACCTGTTAAACACACACCCGCTACACACCTTTTACATGTTTAAACATACACTCGCTACACACCTGGTATATGTTTAACACACCTGTCACATGTTAAACATACACCTATTACATGTTAAACACACACTCACTACACACCTGTTATATGGTTAAACATACACTCGCTACAAGCCTGGTTCATGTCAAACATACACTCGCTATACACCTGGTACATGTTAAACATACACCCGCTACACACCTGGTACATGTTAAACATACACCCGCTACACACCTGGTACATGTTAAACATACACCCGCTACACACCTGGTACATGTTAAACATACACCCGCTACACACCTGGCATATGTCAAACATACACCGCTACACACCTGGTACATGTTAAACATACACCCGCTACACACCTGGTACATGTTAAACATACACCCGCTACACACCTGGCATATGTCAAACATACACCCGCTACACACCTTTTACATGTTTAAACATACACTTGCTACACACCTGGCATATGTCAAACATACACCCGCTACACACCTGGTACATGTTAAACATACACCCGCTACACACCTGGTACATGTTAAACATACACCCGCTACACACCTGGTACATGTTAAACATACACCCGCTACACACCTGGCATATGTCAAACATACACCCGCTACACACCTGGTACATGTTAAACATACACCCGCTACACACCTGGTACATGTTAAACATACACCCGCTACACACCTGGTACATGTTAAACATACACCCGCTACACACCTGGTACATGTTAAACATACACCCGCTACACACCTGGTACATGTTAAACATACACCCGCTACACACCTGGCATATGTCAAACATACACCCGCTACACACCTGGTACATGTTAAACATACACCCGCTACACACCTGGTACATGTTAAACATACACCCGCTACACACCTGGCATATGTCAAACATACACCCGCTACACACCTTTTACATGTTTAAACATACACTTGCTACACACCTGGTACATGTTTAACTCAGACTTGTCACATGTTTAAACATACACCCGCTACACACCTGGTACATGTTAAACACAGGCCTACAAAGTCATCAGCCAGTGGAAACTATTTTCAACTTTCTTGCCCTCTGATGCTACTAAAGGTCGATTGTGTTGTGTGGTTGTTGTAGAGCCCAATGATGAGAGCGGCGCCAACGTCGATGCGTCTAAGATGTGGCGGGAGGACAGAGACCAGTTCTACAGACTGGCTCAGAAGATCGTCAGGAAGTCTCTGGGCTTGTAGAGATGAAGTCATCACCCTGCTGTGTGTGTGTGCGTGCGTGCGTGTGTGTGTACGTGCGTGTGTGTGTGTGTGTGCGTGTGTGTGGTGACAGATCTAAGTTTATCTGAGGACTTTTTGCACTTTAACCTGCTGTTTGTATTTCTCTGGTTCTGGGTGGGTTTGGGTCAGCTGGTGGAAGTCAGCTGTGAGGTTTTAAACATGAAATCATAACGATCAGCTGATTGATTTCTGAACGGCTTCACTTTGACTCTGATTGTAAATGACCTGATTAAAGAAACTTCCCAGCGATCCTGAACGTTGTGTCTGGAGTTCTTTTCAAAACAAACACGCTGCAGCTAAGAAGGGCCTGGTTCTGGTGCTAGAACCGGTTCTGGACCATTAACGTGTTCACTGAGTGATGTGTTTGAAGCTCTTCCTTCATCTGAGCTCAGGTCACATGACCATGATGAGGTGAGTCATGTGGGTTCAGGCGTGTTTCTGCCTGCTGGACTGGATCCAGTTTCATGTTTGAAGCGTGTTTACTGGGTTCTGAGCTACTTACGTCCAGGTGTGTTTTTTCTGTCCTGTGCGTACCTGTTTCTGTGGATTCACCCAGCAGCTGGGTGGAGATGGAACCAGAACCGAACCAGTCCAGTAGAATTACCTTTATTTGATATCATTAGAATTTCCTTTTGCTTAATCCTTTTTTTTTTTCATTTGATTTATGATCTTTTATGTTTTGAATGATTCTTTTGGGGTTTTTTCTGTTAGTCATGATTTATTTTTTATGTGATTTTTCTGAGAAACTTTACTTACCTGTTGCCAAAGTAAGTTTCTATGTAATTGAACTTACCTGTGTACCTGCTTTCCTTACTGGTGAAGGTTCTCTTCCTGATCGTGGTAATCCACAAGGGCTTGAATGAAGACTTCTTTGGTTTGATTTGGTTTTAGTCCACTTGCCTTCCTTTGAGCCCTTGTGGATTGTGAGGATACAGCAGTCATTAAAACATGGGCAGGGCTGATGGGTATGAGGTGGAGCTCTGGCTCACCTGTGGAACTCGTATCATGGACACAAATGCATCGGAGATCAGCCACATGGTCCTCCTGCTGCTTCATCTCTGATCAACATTGGTTATAAACTCCAAACCTGCCTTGTTTCTGACAACCAGCAGGAGGCGGGGTCTGTTATAAACACCTGTTTTAGTACCTGTTTTTTTTAAACGAACACTTCAGATTTATGTTCATGAAAACATTTCCCTTTTTCTTTTTAAAAGCCTGGAACCAGTCGTTTTGACTTCCTGTCAGGGTCAACACACACACACACCTGTGGCTCCTCCTTCCTATTTAGATTTAAATGCAGGCTGAGTGAGCCAACAGATGAAGACTTCTCAGGTAAACTCACCTGGAGCAGAGACAGCTGGAGATACGGAAGAACAGGACCAGAAGAAGACAGGTGGACATCTGTTTGACATTTTTAAATCAGAGTGGTTTTGTTCTCATCGCTCTGAAGTCCAGATGTGTGGTTCTGGAGAACCAGAGCTGATATTTGTTTTTGTTCAGATCTTTTTAATTGAACATATCTGACTAACCAGTGAACATGAGTCGTTCTTCTATGTTCATGGAGCTATCCTGACCTGAACCAGAACCTCAGACTGATCTAGAACCAGAGCAGAGTCCACACGGGTTGTGTTGTTCCACAGGGTTGTAGAACCACAGGGATCAGAACTGGGCCAAGCTCTAGTCTCTCATTCTGAGGAGAAGGATCTTCTCTCCATCTTCATGTCTGAACCTCGGGTTGTCACCAACGTGATGCTGAGCAGGAACCGTGTCATCGGATCATAATGCTGGTTTGTGGTCTCCTGCTGCTCACCTGGACCCTGCTAGCCATGGTCCAGAGCCACAGCTGGACACCCTGCACAGGTAAATAATTCTGAGAGGTCCAGGTGATGTAGTTGTGTTCTTCTGACCTGTCTCACCTGGTTCTTGTTGAGTTCCTGTTGGCTAGAGACCGCTCACCTGGTAGTTTTCTCTCAAAAGGGTCTCAGATTTATTTTTTCTCATTGGTGCTGTTCAGTTAGGAAAGTTCTGTTGTGCATGGTTCTAGTGCTCCTGAAGCCTGACAGAAGTCCAGATCCTTTTCCTACTGCTAAGAGTAAAAGCTGACAGTAATGGCTCAGAACCCACCCCGTTGTGTGTTTTCAGACATCTCGGCTGCTTTGTGTTTTAATGTTTTCACTCTTTGAAATGTGAGACCCGGTTCTGGACCCATGGTCTCCTCCCTTCATTCAGACTGATCAAACAGCAGCTTCAAGGGGAATTCCTGTTAGAACCAATCAGAACAAAGCTTCACACACCTCAGAGAAAGCCAAGACTGTCTGGTTCTAGGTCCAGGACCACTAATAGATTATTTAAGTCAGCAGCTGCGTTTCAGTGGATCTGAGGTCAAACTACGCTCTGGTTCAGGTGTTGATGTTCTAAATCTGATCTCTGATGTCTGCGGCCCGGTTTAGGTCCAGGTTTATTTTTAGAACCTGGCTGAAGATGCAAGTGATACACATCAACCCTATAAAGGCCTGACTGTAATCGGACCTGGTTTCAGTATAACTGATCCACATCAGTTCCTCCAGCTGGTTCCACTCCAGCTCCATGGAAATTTAACTTCCAAAGCCATCATCAGCAGATGTTAGTCCTGGCCCAGAACCAGCCTGAAAACCTTGTGATGTTTAAGTCCAGATGATTATGTTGATGAATTGTGGAGACAACATGGTTTGAGGTCCATCAGAATTGACAGATGTTCTGGTTCCTCCTCAGATCTGCTGCCTCTGGACCTGCTGTCCAGAGTCATGCCCCATTCAGGCCAAGCTCCACTCACAAAGGTAGGACCCAGATGAAAATGAAATGCACCAATTGGTCTCAAATTCTCTGATCAAGGTTATGTTCACGCAGGTGCAGATGGTTCAGTCTAGAGGATACAGAGGTGTCAGACTGACTGGCACTGCTCCAGCGGCTATGGGTTTCCCCGCCTCCCAGATCTTCTCCAGCTGTGATGATTTTCCTGCTGAGTTTTCATTGGTCACAACCATAAAACTTCAGAAACTTCGAAAAAAGGTGAACCCACCGAACCTCATGGAACAAGGTCCAATCCAGTCTAGTGTGGTCCCATCAGATGTTGGTTCAGCCTGTTCTGGTTTGTCCAGACCGATTCAGTTAATCCTGCTGCATTATCACCTGTACTGCTTCGTTTTCACACAGAACAAGACCTCACACACACACACACACACACACGCACGCACACACACACACACACATGCACACTCACACACACACGTGCGAATACACACTCACACACACACGCGTGCGCGCACACACACACACACACACACACACACACACACACACAGCCTGAAGTGCAGAATACGGAATGCAGAATATCAGCAGGGGGACAGATTGAGACAGAATGTCATGCGTCTGTGACAGTGTGTGTCCTGTCACTGTGACCCGATTGATCATGCGCCCTGGGCTACTTGGACAAGGGAGATCTCTGTTTGGGTGACTGGTTAGTCTGCCGGACTTTCACCTTGGAGTCTGGGATCGAATCCCGATTGGACCTTTTTTTTTCATATCCGCCACAGATCTCTCAGAAGAATTCACAACATTGACGGCTTCAGCAACGCTGTGCTACTTCGTGGATTTTCTCTTATTTGTTTTGCAAAAGTACTTCCTTTCATTTCTCCACCTCACCCACAAGTGCCTCAACTTCTGCTTGTGAAATAAGTCTGGTCTTGATGTAAAAGCAGAACATTCTGAGTCATCCAATTTTTTATGTCTTCAAGACAAGCCTGTAATCTAACTAATCGATTAGGTTCATCAGGGTTAATGGATAAATATAACTGAGTATCGTCAGCATAACAGTGAAAGTTTACCCCATGCTGTCTAATGATTTTACCAATTGGGAGCATATATAGTAAAAAGAATTGGTCCAAGTACTGAACCCTGTGGTACTCCACAAGTAACCCTGGAGTATGAAGATTTGTCATGTACATTTACAAATTGATATCTATTAGACAGGTAGGATTTAAACCAGCCTAGCGCTGTTCCTTTGATCCCTACAACATGTTCAAGTCTTTCTAAAAGAACATTGCGATCTACTGTATCAAAGGCAGCACTGAGATCTAACAAGACTATAACAGACACAAGATTCTTATCTGAGGCCATGAGAATATCATTTGTAACTCTCACTAATGCAGTTTCAGTGCTGTGATTCTCTCTAAAACCAGACTGAAATTCCTCAAACAGAGCATTAGTGTTTAGAAGGAAGGTTAGATGTTGGTCTATAATTAATTTGGTCATCTAGATCCAGAGAAAGTTTTTTAAGAAGAGGTTCAATTACCTGCAGGCCGATCTGGTCCACTCTAACCTGTCCGCTTTCTGTCCTTTCCCAGACCAATGAGTACATCCTGTCTGTGGTGAAGGAGGGGTCTGATTCACTGTTGCTAGGGTTACGAATCTCTGAGAACCGACTTCATCTCCTGACCAAGCCCCCTGAAGCTGGTGGGTGGAGTCGGATCAGTTTCAGAGACGTTGGACTGGATGACAACCGCTGGCACACGGTGGTCCTGGCTGTCTCAGGACATTATGCCACACTGACCATCGACTGTGGACTGCCTCTGGAACTGTAAGTCTCAGACCAGCTCAAATTGGTTCAGATTGGTTCAATACCAGCTTGGACAGGTTTAGACTAGTTCACTCTGGTCCCTAGATGAGTCAGCAGTATTTTAAACCTGTTTTAGTCAAGTCCAAAAACCTCATCTCATTTAGTGTAAGTTGGTTTTGTCGGTTTCCTCCCCTGTGAATGTGGACCCTAACCCTAGTCTTTATTATCTGGTCTGCCCAGTCCAGCTCACCAACATCCTGCTGTGACTCGGTCTGTTCAGGTCTTTCTGAGGTCAGATTGATCCGGTTCTGGTTGAGCAGTTGGGCAGTGCTGTCGAGATTAAGTAAAGTTAGAGATTAATTAATTCAGTTTCAGTTTTCAAGTAAGTTTATTTACATAGTGCTACATCACAGCAAGATGGAAGAAAACCAAAGGGTTCAAATGAAGACAATTGGACTTCATTTGAACCTGGATGACTGAGAACCTTCCCCAGCATAGAAGAAACCGTTTTTTTTTTTTTTTTTGGTAGCGGCTCACAAGATTAAAAATCATGAGGTGCTTCACAAGAACAAAAAATAAAAAAATGTTTTTAGAAGATCATAATGAAAAGTGGATGTAAAGGGAAATTCCATCCATTTGTGGCCGGCTAGGTCGAGTTGCAGGGGCAGCAGCCTAAGCAGGGAGGCCCAGCCGCTTGGGTCAGCTCCTCTGGGGGAATTCCAAGGCGTTCCCTGGCCAGGTGAGAGAAGTAGTCTCCAGTGAGTCCTGGAACTTTCTTAAGGTTTTCTCCCAGTTGGATGTGCTTGGAAAAACTCACCAGGGAGGCGTCTAAATGTGGAAGAGCAGCAGGTCTTCTCCAAACCCCTTGCTGATGACCAAGCTTCTCGCCCTATCTCTAAGGGAGAACCCAGCCACCCTGCTCATTTCAGCCGCTTGTATCCATGATCTCGTTCTTTCGGTCACTACCTAAAGCTCGTGACCATAGGTGAGGGTAAGAACTTAGATAAACCGGTAAATTGAGAACTTTGCATTACGGTTCATCTCTCTTTTCACAACGACAGACCGGAACAACGCCCGCATCACTGCAGATGCAGCACCAATCTGCCTATCGATCTCACACTCCAGGTTTCCCTCACCCGTGAACAAGACCCCGAGATACTTAAACTCCTCCACTTGAGGCAGGACCTCATTCCTGATCCGGAGAAGACATTTCACATTTTTTGACTCAAGACCATATGGTCTCAGATTTAGAGGGGTTGATTCTCATCCCAGCTGCTCCACACTCAGCTGCGAACTGCTCCAGAGAAAGCTGAAGATCATGTTCTGATGAAGCCAACAGGACCACATCATCTGCAAAAAGCAGAGACCTGATCCTCAGGCCACCAAAACAGATGCCTTCCACACCTTGGCTGTGCCTAGAAATCCTGTCCATAAAGCTTATGAATAGAATCGATGACAAAGGGCAGCTTTGGCGGAGTCCAACTCTCACTGGGAACGAGCCCGACTTACTGCCGGCAATGTGGGCCAAGCTCTGACACCGGTCATACAGGGACCTAACAGCCCATATCAGAGGGCCTGGTACCCCATACTCCCGGAGTAGCCCCCTACAGGACCCCCTGAGGGACGCGGTCAAATGCCTTCTCCTAATCCACAAAACACATGTAGACTGGTTGGGCAAATTCCCACACACCCTCCAGGATCCCCATAAGGGTCTAGAGCTGGTACAGTGTTCCACGACAAAGATGCAAACCACATTGCTCCTCCTGAATCTGAGGTTCAACAATCCGACGGACCCTCCTCTCCAGAACCCCTGAATAGACCTTACCAGGAAGGCTCAGGAGTGTGATCCCCCTGTAGGTGGAATACACCCTGCGCCCCCCCTTTTTAAATAAGGGGACCACCATCCCGGTCTGCCAGTCCAGTGGGACTGCCCCCGATGTCCACGCGATATTGCTGAGCCGCGTCAGCCAACACAGCCCCACAACATCCAGAGCCTTAAGGAACTCCGGGCGGATCTCATCCACCCCTGGAGCCTTGCCACAGAGGAGCTTTTTAACCACCTCAGTGACCTCAGCACCAGAGATTTGAGAGGCCAACCCAAAGTCCCCAGACTCCGCTTCCTCACTGGAAGACATGTCGGTGGGGTTGAGGAGGTCTTCGAAGTATTCTGCCCACTGATCCACAACATTCTGAGTAGAGGTCAGCAGCACACCGTCCCCACTATAGATAGTGTTGGTAGCGCACTGCTCTCCCCCCCCCCCCCCCCACCCCCCCCACCCCCACCCCCACACACCCACCTAGCCACCACCCTGCCTGCCCCGGACCGTTTTGGAAGTTCTGTTGGAGGTGGGAATTGAAGCTCCTTCTGACAGGAGACTCTGCCAGACGTTCCCAGCAGACCCTCGCGATACGTTTGGGCCTGCCTGGTCTGACCGGCATCCTCCCCACCATCTGAGCCAACTCACCACCAGGTCGTGGTCAGTTGACAGCTCTGCCCCCCTCTTCACCCGAGTGTCCAAGACATGGGGCCGCAGGTCAGATGAAAAAACAACAAAGTCGATCATCGAGCTGCGGCCTAAGGTATCCAGGTGCCAAGAGCACATATGGACACCTTTATGTCTGAACATGGTGTTCATTATGGACAATCAATGACTGGCACAGAAGTCCAATAACAAAACACCACTCAAATTCAGATCAGGGAGGCCGTTCCTCCCAACCACACCACTCCATGTCTCACTGTCGTTGCCCACGTGAGCGTTGAAGTTCCCCAGCAGAACAAGGAAGTCGCCGGAAGGAGCGCTTCCCAGCACCCCCTCCGATGTCTCCAAAAAGGGTGGGTAGTCTGAACTGTAGTTTGATGCATAAGCACAGACCACAGTTAGAACCCGTCCCCCCACACGTAGGCGGAGGGAGGCTACCCTCTCACTCACTGGGGTAAACCCCAACGTACAGGCACCAAGATGGGGGGCAACTAGAATGCTCACCCCTGCTCAGCGCCTCTCAGTGGGAGCAACTCCAGAGTGGTAGAAAGCCCACCCCCTCTCAAGGAAACTGGTTCCAGAGCTAGAGCCATGTGTTGAGGTGAGTCTGACTATATCTAGTCGGAAACTCTCAACCTCACACACCAACTCAGGCTCCTTCCCCACCGGAGAGGTGACATCCCATGTGCCAAGAGCCAGCTTCTGTAGCCAAGGATCAGACCGCCAAGGTCTCCCGCCCTTGACTACCACCCGTCACACACTGCACCTGACCCCTTTGGCCCCTCCCACGAATGGTGAGCCCATGGGAAGGGGGACCCACGTTTCCTCTTCGGGCTGTGCCTGGCCGGGCTCCATGTGTGAAAGCCCAGCCACCAGGTGCTCGCCAACGTGCCCCACCTCCAGGCCTGGCTCCAGAGGAGGGCCCCGGTGACCCACGTCCGGGCGAGGGAACACGGTTTCCATTTATATAATTCGTCATAAGAGGTCTTCGGGCAACTGTTTGTCTGATCCCTCACCTAGGACCTGTTTGCCATGGGTGACCCTACCAGAGGCAGAAAGCCTCAGACAACTTAGCTCCTAGGATCATTGAGACACTCAAACCCATCCACCATGGTAAGGTGGCAGCCCAGGGAGAGGCTGATATGGTAAATGGCCTGTATTAGATATAGAGCCTTCTAGAGTCCTGGAACCTCCCAAGGTGCTTTACAACACAATCAGTCATTCATCCATTCACACACACATTCACGCGCTATAGGATAGGACTCTTTCTTCATCTTGACGGCATCCCTAACTGTCGGTGTCCACCATTGGGTTCGAGTATTGCCACCATGACAGGCGCTGACAACCTTGCAGCCGCGGTTCTGGTCGGCCGCCGTGACAATGGCAGCACGGAACATGGCCCATTCGGACTCTGTCTCCTGATTCCTTCGCGACGTGTTTGAAATTCTGTCTGAGGTGGGAATTGAAGCTCCTTCTGACAGGAGACTCCACCAGATGTTCCCAGCAGTCCCTCACACTAAGTTTAGGCCTGACTGGCGTCTTCCCCACCATGACAGCCAACTCACCACCAGGTAGTGGTGAGTTCAGAGTCAGAATCCAAAGCTGAGTCGGAAGGGTTTTATTACCATATGTGCAGGAATAGCAACATTAGGAAATTGCTGTGGTACTTGTGCAAGAAAAACAAAAGTAAATGATAAGCAAAAATTAGAATTAAGAAATAAACAAAATGAAATGATAATGATCTGGGGAGTCCATGCTGCTGTTTTCACTGTAATGGGGTGAAAATTAATTTAAGATACCGGTACTTAAATTAATAGCAAAAGTTTATTTATTAAACAGAAGATTCAGTAAGATTCTTTTCATTCGATAAAAGGAAATGCAACCCTTTTCTGTGTTTCATTTCAATAATGAGGCAAGTTTAAAAATGAAGAAATTTATTACTAACAATTTTTAAACTGAAAATTTGAAACGACAATTATAAAATGACAATTCATGGATGGCAATTCTAATGACAATTCTTTAACAGCTTTGATATTAAACTTGTTTAAAAGCAAATCTGTGTTGGATGGAGCTAAAAATGAGAATGATGAGTTTTGGATGCATGAATGAAGTTCTCAGAAGGTTTCTTTTCAAAGGGAATGAAGCGTTCTGGGTGAAACTGATGTTTTGCAGATAACTGAGTTATTTAGAGAAAAACAGCATCAAACGTCATCTATCGTGTTCTACCTCACCCAAACAGGGCCCCCTTTGTGGATCCGGGCATCAGGAGGATGGGTTTCATCCAAGCTTACACTTCGGCTGGTAGAGTAGACGCAAGTGTCCGATGGTCCGGTCCAGAGATGTCCTGGGTACACGGCTGTTTGAAGCGTTTGGCAGATGAACGTTCTCGTATTTAACTTAACTTCAGAAATCAAATGACTCTGGGAGAGTCTTTCGTTAGTTGGTTTGTTTCGTTTGTTCTTCATTCTCTTCGGCGTGACAGAACAGCAGCAGAGGTTCAGGGCGGCCGTCCCTGACTCCTCAGGATGATGTCTTGTTCAGAACTGGACGTGAAATCTGTGATGGTTAGTTTTACCAAACTCTCTCAGAACCACTCCCTCTCTCTCCGGAAGAAAGCTTGCTCATGCGTCAAAAACATGTGATGCAGTTATTGTTTATCTGAACTCTGTGTTAGCTGGATAAGGTGAACTTGACCTTGTTGCTCAACACATCTTTAGTCATTATAATTAATCATTATTATACCCAAAGCATAATAATCCATTTCATGTAATTAAGATACCTTTATAATGAACCACGTGATTATGTTGTAATGATTATATTAAACAGTAATAAAATCAATGTGTTTATTAATTATTATTTAATTATTATCATCGTGGCTTGAAGTGTCCTTCTGGGACGGAACAGCAGATATGGTGTTATGATCTTGAGCAGACATCGTGGCTCCTTGGGTTTAATCTGTGGATTCAAAGTACTGTTTGACCCAGCTCGACCCAGCTGGGCAAATGTGACCTTTGGCACAAATCAGAGAACCTTCATGCCGCTACATGACCGACGACTCATATAAAATCCTCCATTTTCACGTCTCGTCTCTCTAAGTCACCTGTCCTCACCTCACCTGTCCTTCCTCATAGAACGGACGCCCGTATGCAGAAATAGTTAAAGGTTAGAAGTGAGGTTAACTTGATTAAAAACATAACTCACTATTCACTGATGTAATCGATGCATTGCTTTTTCTTCCCTGCCTTTGGGTCCAGCCTGATCTGGTTTGGGGTTTGTTCTGGATCAGGAGAACTGTTCTGTAACCTGGTTTCCTCTCTTCCAGTAAACTGGTCTGGTCCTTCCCCGGGACCTTGAGCACCCAAGGATCCTGGTTCTTTGTGGGCAGCAGGGGTCACTGGAGGGGTCGCTTCACTGTGAGTCTCTGATCAGAACCTGAATCAGATTCAGAACCCTCAAGTCTTCCTGCTGGTTCAGTCTGCTTTCTGTGTCCAGGGTCTGCTCCGTCAGCTGGTTCTGCTACCAGGTTCAGATGCCACGCCCAGATTGTGCCCAAACTTTGACCCCGGTCTGACTGAGCTGTCCATCCCACCGGTCCTGAAGTCAACCCCTTTGCAGTTGGACCTGCTCAGACCACTTTACCCGTACGGTGAGGAGAGCCTCTCACAGGAGTCCAAAGCTTTTGAAACTGTCAGTTTAGGAAGAATCAGAACAACTTTGTTCTGCTCACTGGAACCTGATCAGATCTCAGAGGAGTGCTCTTCTCTGAGTTTGGACCTGGTTCTGTGATTCTGTCTATGATCCAGGAACCTGAGCTACAGACCCTACAAGGACCAGGTCCTGCTGGTTCCAGTGAGACCATCCTCTCAGAACTCCTAGTTCTAGTTTGAGTCTTGGTCCTGGTACCCAGTAGAGTGGAAGCTTCCCACCAGTGGTGTGATTAATAATGTCTGTGGATGGGATCCTGACCCTGTTGAGGCATTCACCCCGGTGAGTTGCTGGTTCAGATCCAGGCTCCATCCTTGTTAGTTGTTGTTTCCTTGAGCTCACTACCACCAAGGGGAAACTCTGACCGCCCAAAATGAATCCAAACTGGAAGTGACATAAACTGCAGTTCCCTCCTCCTCCACTTGGGGCTGGATCCAGAGAGGAGCATGTTTCCATTGACCAGATTAAAGGTTGGTTTTTGCTTGACGCGTCCGCGAGGTCTGCACGGCTCTGCGCGGCGAAATTGCATAATTTTAACAACCACGCCCCTCCACCGCGCCTCCGCACGGCCCAAACTTTCCGCACCGCGCACCTAGGAAATTTTCTAACCACGCGGACGGTCGGACGCGGAAAAACATGGCGGTTCGGCAAGAACTAGTATGGCAGAGGTCCGTAAATACAGACATTTGTATGATTCAGCTCTCAGAGATCACCGTGATCAACATGTTGTTAATAATTCTTGGAGAGAAATAGCTCGCACTGTCGGAAAAGACGAGGACGCTGTTAAAAAATGCTGGAATGCCATGTTGTAAACAACAGTTTTTACTTCTACTATGGTGTAGTGTTGGATGCATGCTGTAGAGCTCCATGCTGCCCCCTACAGTTTGGGAGAATATTGTCTCACCTCAGAGACGAGCCACATGAACCATAAACGCTGCGAGTTGTGAAGCGCGTTCCATCCGTGAGCCGCACCACCAAGCGGAAAGTCAATGCGTCAAGCATAAACCAAGCTTTACTCATTCACTGCCAGCGTTTTTCAGCGTTTTCACTTTTTTAAGAGTCACAGAACGTTGCACGCTAGGATGATGTCGACGCCAAAACAACCAAAACAAAGCGGAGACTCGCCTCTTACATCAGGAAGAACCCGCGCGTTTCGAGCGTTATCCGTTCTTTCATAATCCGTTGTTGAATTGTGATCGGCAGTTCGCACCTCACTCTTTTACAGCAGCGGCCCAAAATGATCTCCTAACACATGGATTTCTGCTTCCTGGTCACGTGACGTGTGACGTATGTGGGTGAAGATCGGCCTTAGAGCTGGGATGTTTGTTCTCACGGTGTGGGGGCTCGTCCGACGCCCACACGGTAGAAAAAAATGCAAATGGCAGTGAATGAGTTAATGTGCAGATGAGCCATCAGCGCTAGCAGCTAGCCCTCATCCTCTGCATTATGTTAAAAGTGAGGGTGGCAGAGTGGCTCAGCCACAGTTTTCCGGCCCTCACATGAGCAGTCTGTGATCTTTACCGGCGTGCCTGCAGGGTGAAGACTTTAGAGTCCTCTGACTCAGACAGGTGCTGCTACAGGTGCAGGTTGTTTATCATCAGAGTTTAGCTGATTAAAGTTATGATGCTGGTCCATTCAGACTCAGGTGTACAAGAAGTTGTCTGCCCAGCCTCCCTAAACCTGGGCCAGGCTCAGAACCCTAACCTTCTCAGCTGTCTGCTGTTTCAGAGGCTGAGACCAGAATCACTATGGGGACATGTCCACCATGTTCAGCACCAGAAACGGGTCAGCTGTGGTTTAACGCTGAGAGGAGGAGCCTGTTTATGTGCGATGGGACGACCTGGAGGACACTGCTGCAGAGTGAGTCCAGGTGGAGTCGGACCAGAACCGAGTTGTAGTCTCAAATAGGACCACGGTCTGATCCTGGATCTGGACTCTGGTCTGGTCTTGGATCTGGACCAGGGTCTGGTTCTGAGCTTCTTAGACCACTGTTCTCCACTATTTGTGTTTTTGAATCTCCTGATCTGGTTGGACCTGCAGATCAAAAACGTCTGGACTATGTGGAGGACTACCAGGACCTCTATACCTGCTCAGAAACCTTTGACGTGGAGATATTCTCCATCCCGTCTGAGGGCCTCTTCATGGCTGCAGCCAACAGGTACCAAACTTTTTTGGACCTGAAATTCTGCCTCTCCCTGGTAACCACCGTGTCTTCTCTGGCAGAGCCTCTCGACCCGGATCGGGAATCTACCGCTGGAGAAACGAGTCGTTCCACCTGTACCAGAACATAAGCACACAGGAGGCCCGGGGCTGGAAGCACTTCACCATTGGTGACAAGGTGAATCAGACAGAACCAGGACCGGTCCAGATGGAAACTGGCTCAGCTCTCAGAACCTTAAACTTTGGGTCTGAATCAGGAACATTTCTTTTAAAACCCTCTGACCTCTAACCAGGTGTGTCATTTCCATCCACCAGGTTTTCCTCGTGGTGGCAGATGCAGGGGAGGTGGAGCCTGAGCTGTCAGTCATCTATCAGTGGAACCAGAGACGGAGGCGGTTCTTGCGGTACCAGATTCTGGAGACTCATGCTGCCCAGGACTGGGAGGCCTTCCAGATACATAACCACAGCTTCCTGGTGGTGGCCAATCACAGACGAGGTTAGTTGGGATGTTGATTAGAAGTCAGGTAAAAAGTCTGGGGGTACCACCTGGACCTCTAGTGGCAAGGCTTTATTCTACAGCACATTTCATGCACAGAAGAGTCAGATAACAGAGAAAGAAGAAGAAAATATCATTTCTATAGCACCTCTCAAGATAAAAATCACGAGGCGCTTCACAAAAACAAAAAATATAAAAATTGTAAAAATAGAAAAAAAGCATTTTGAAAATGTTTAAAAATATATTTAAAATGAGCAAGAATAAGCAATTGCGATTTAAAAGATAAAATGTTAAGAAAGAGAGAGAGTGAACAGGAAAGAGGGAAATCAGTGGATCCTGATGATGGTGGAATAGGTGGAGAGAGCAGAATAAAGAGAGAGTGGTGAAGAGGGGTCATACAAAAGCCAGCTTGAACAAATGAGAAAGTTAAAGGTTGAGCAGCTCCAGTTCATGTATTCATTCAAAGGCTGATGAATACATGAAGGTTACTAGAGCTGGGGCACATCTGAGGCCATGAGGAAGCTGATTCCATCTGAGCAGCATAGTAGCTAAAAGCAGCTTCACCCTGTTTGGTTCTGACCCGGTTCTACCAGCTGACTGTTTCCTAAGGATCTCAGAACCCTGCTGGGTGTAGTTACAGGAAGGAGATCCAACATGTGTTTTGGCCCCATGCCAATGAGTGATTTATAAACTAGTAGTAATACTTTGAGATGGATTCTGTAGTTTACTGGTAACCAGGGTAGAGATCTAAGAACAGGACTGATGTGTTCGGTTCTCCTGGTGCTCGTCAAGACTCTAGCAGCAGCATTCTGAATCAGCTGCAGTTGCTTCACAGCTTTTTTAGTAGTGCTGATGTTTCCAGATGTTGCCTGTAATCACATGAGTGAACTAATAACAAGCTACAGTGAGGTGAGGTTCTGCACTTCCTGTTCTGGATCAGAGGTTGTGGTGGTTCTGTGGTGATTCTGCTTGTGAGAAGCTTCAGCACCAGGCTGATTGATGTTCAGCTTTGTGGTTTTCAGCTGATGTTTGAAGCTCAGAGGGAGCTGGTACCTGCTGCTGCAGCCGTAACACTTCAAACATTCCTGTGAAGATCAAGCGCTCACTGATCACAGTTGTTGATCTTAGAGGAACCGAGCCAGGAGGACTGATCCAATCAGTTCAGAGCTGAGCAGCACTTGAGTTCACTTCTAGTCACCAGCAGTACCAGCTCAGTAGAACCCTGGCCTGTTTCTGAAGAACCCTGGCCTGTTCTAGTAGAACCCTGGCCTGTTCCAGAAGAACCCTGGCCTGTTCCAGAAGAACCCTGGCCTGTTCTAGTAGAACCCTGGCCTGTTCCAGAAGAACCCTGGCCTGTTCCAGAAGAACCCTGGCCTGTTCCAGTAGAACCCTGGCCTGTTCCAGAAGAACACTGGCCTGTTCTAGTAGAACCCTGGCCTGTTCCAGTAGAACCCTGACCTGTTCCAGAAGAACACTGGCCTGTTCTAGTAGAACCCTGGCCTGTTCCAGTAGAACCCTGGCCTGTTCCAGAAGAACCCTAGCCTGTTCCAGAAGAACCCTGGCCTGTTCCAGAAGAACCCTGGCCTGTTCTGGTAGAACCCTGGCCTGTTCTAGTAGAACCCTGGCCTGTTCCAGAAGAACCCTGGCCTGTTCCAGAAGAACCCTGGCCTGTTCTGGTAGAACCCTGGCCTGTTCCAGAAGAACCCTGGCCTGTTCCAGAAGAACCCTGGCCTGTTCTGGTAGAACCCTGGCCTGTTCTAGTAGAACCCTGGCCTGTTCTAGTAGAACCCTGGCCTGTTCTAGTAGAACCCTGGCCTGTTCCAGTAGAACCTTGACCTGTTCTAGTAGAACCCTAACCTGTTCCAGAAGAACCCTGGCCTGTTCCAGAAGAACCCTAGCCTGTTCCAGAAGAACCCTGGCCTGTTCCAGAAGAACCCTGGCCTGTTCCAGAAGAACCCTAGCCTGTTCCAGAAGAACCCTGGCCTGTTCTGGTAGAACCCTGGCCTGTTCTAGTAGAACCCTGGCCTGTTCCAGAAGAACCCTGGCCTGTTCCAGAAGAACCCTGGCCTGTTCTGGTAGAACCCTGGCCTGTTCCAGAAGAACCCTGGCCTGTTCCAGAAGAACCCTGGCCTGTTCTGGTAGAACCCTGGCCTGTTCTAGTAGAACCCTGGCCTGTTCTAGTAGAACCCTGGCCTGTTCCAGTAGAACCCTGACCTGTTCTAGTAGAACCCTAACCTGTTCCAGAAGAACCCTGGCCTGTTCCAGAAGAACCCTAGCCTGTTCCAGAAGAACCCTGGCCTGTTCCAGAAGAACCCTGGCCTGTTCCAGAAGAACCCTAGCCTGTTCCAGAAGAACCCTGGCTGCTGCTGCCCTTTATTGAATAAAGCTCTGAGCTATTATGCTGCAAGACACATAATAGTTAACAATAATTGTCCTTGACAATATTGAAAACACACCAATGCCCTTTCCCACTAGAGCTACTTGTCTGGCCCAGTAGAACCAGTTACCAGTTCAGCTTGGTCACTGAGAACTTCCTGGTTTATGTGAAGGGGCGGGGCTTTTAACTATCCACCTGTCTGACTCACCTGATAAAATGTGCCCCTGCATTTTCTCAGCCAGAGACTCCAACCACAACATCCCCAGCGTGGTCTACAGGTGGAACTCAGACTCTCAGGTGAGCGTCCAACATGAGACCAAGTCTAACAGCTTCTCCTGTGGGCATGAACCCCACTCTTTGTCTGTCCTTAGCTCCTCCTTTTGTCTGTCCTCTTTTCCATTCTTGTGTTCATGTAGTCCTCATTATCCCATCTGTCTCCAGCTGTTTGAGGTGTACCAGACCTTGTCCACATCTGGAGCATATGACTGGGAGTTCTTCACCGTTGGACCATACCACTTCCTGGTAGTGGCCAACACCTTTGATGGACACACTACCACCATCAGCTCCACCATCTACCTCTGGCTGGACAGCCGCTTCCAGACCTTCCAGAACATTACGGTCAGTGTTTCCCCTATAGGTCCGGTCTAACATCTGGTTCTATGGACTTGGTGACTCAATGTTCCTAGGACCATTTCTGAGTTCCAGAGCCCTGCTTACATCCATAAATTCTCTTCCACTTATCTGGGGTTGGGTCACGGGGCAGCAGCCTAAGCCTAAAGGCCCAGACTTCCCTCTCCCCAGCCACTTGAGCCAGCTCCTCCGGGGAAATCCCAAGGCGTTCCCTGGCCAGGTGAGAGACGTAGTCCCTCCACCGTGCCCTGGGTCTTCCCTAGGGTCTCCTCATGGTTGGACTTGCTCGGAAAACCTCACCAGGGAGGCGTCCAGGATCTTGACCAGATGCCCGACCCACCTCAACTGGCTCCTCTCGACGTGGAGGAGCAGCGGGTCTACTCCGAGCCCCTCCCGGATGACTAAGCTTCTCACCCTATCTCTAAGGGAGAGCCCAGCCACCCTGCGGAGAAACCTCATTTCAGCCGCTTTTATCCACAATCTCATTCTTTTGGTCACTACCCAAAGCTTGTGACCAAAGGTGAGGGTAGGAACGTAGATCGACCGGTAAATCTAGAGCTTCACCTTCTGATTCAGCTCTCTCTTCACCACATAATGAAAATAGACGTTACAGAGGTCATTTCCTTTTTTTAATTCATTTCATGGAATCAGTCAAATACAATTTACATTAAAACAGTTCATTTTCACAAATAATCTTAAATGAAAAGGAGCAGAAAGATGCAAAAACTTCTATATAAATACTTATATATGGTTTTAAAAATATTAGTTACTTTTAAATTATAATTACTTTCTCTTTTTACAAATCTCTCTTGAATATTTATCGTTAGAACTCCTTCATGTGCTTTCTACATGTTTTAATCTAATTTGTCAAATTTCATTAGTTCTAGTTGTGAAAACATCCGTATGATCCCTAGATCCACTCCACTAATAACTCTCACCGCTCTTTTATGTGTGTGTTTCGCAGGAACGTCCCCATACTTCCATACAATATGTCATATACGGAAGAATTAACCAGTTAACAAGGTTCCACCATGTGGACACCCGTTAGACACAGAGACAGGTCCAGAAACGCCCACTCCCCTCTTAACCTGCTGGTCAGAACCTGGCTTTCCAGTGGATGTTTAAGCAGCACATAGTGTAGTAGGTGTGTGTGTGTGTGTGTGGGGGGGGGGGGGGGGGGGGGAATTGGGGGTAAGGGTATGCTTTGGGTTGCACGTGGAGCATGAAAAATGCTTCATAAATAAAGTTTGGTTTTGTGTTATGACATGTTTTTGCTAGCACAGCTTGGTAGTTTAGGGGTGCTTTAGCACCCCTAGAGTCTGTTTTATTTCAACGTTGTAAAACCACACTGAAACTCCTCCTTGCTGTGTGTGTGTGTGTGTGTTTTCTACACATTGACACCTGATGAAACATCTCCTCGGCCTTCATTAGTGTCTACAGAAGTGGTTCGTCACTCAATCAAACTAATCAGCTGTGTTCATGATCTAAAACATGCTAGATGCAGACTGCAATGCTAGCATGCCAGCTAGTCACTTTACTGTTGACTACAAGTACTTACAAGATGATCGCTAGCTCTGAAGCTATTTGTCTGAGTCCTGTTTGACCCATTTTGTGGTCAGACGTCCTCGTTCTTCTTTAGCTTCAGCAGATAAATGTTTTCTTTGTCTCTTCTGAGGCTTCTCCATGCAAAACATGCTATAATAGATGCTAACCAGCTATAGCTCGTCTGTTCTGAGCCGTAAACATGGATTGCTGCAAAGCGTGACTTTGTGAGACTTCAGGGAAGCTGTCCGGGTACTCTGAAGTTGCAGTATTTTGCCCACATGGGCTTTTTAGCACATACTGGCTCAAGTAAATGTTTAAAAAAATATGAAAACGTTGCATAGTGTACCTTTAAGTAACTGGAAATCTGCACATTATTTTCATTTTTGAAAGTTTCCAGATGCCTCCTCTGTTGGCTGCAGATCTGTGAGTCAGTTTGGTTACCAACGCGTGTCTGTTTGGGGAGCAGAGTGGGAGGAGGTTCTGATGGGTTCTTGTGGAGAAATCCTAAAGTCATCAATAACTGAATCTGGCTTGCCGCTAATACTTCCCGGGATTCTGCCGGCTGCTGGTTGTGGCCCCCCAGGGCGATCCTCTGCGCCTCTCGAGGGAGGGCAGGGGCTTTTCTGGTTACAGTCTCCCTGGGGTTCCTGTGTTCTGGGGCAGCGCCTGGATCTCTGGGACTTGGAGCTCCCCCTGTCTCCTACACATCTTTGGGGGGCGGATCTGTGGCCCCTCACACTCTCTATTGGACGTACCTATAGAGAAACCTTACATATACAAGCACGTGTACACACACAGGTGCTCACATGGTGCTCATGGATGGACTTGGGCACGTTCAACACATGTCTTAAGGCTGTGGTTGGCACTAAATGCACTGTGGTTTATTATCGTGTGATTGTTCAGTTAAACAATGTTGATTTTATATTTCCTCATCAGGTTGACGCAGTGATAGCTTGCTCCTGTTGTATTGACGTGTTGTTTTTCTGCAGGTCTAGAAGCAGACTCTTGTTCGTCATTGGTTGTTTATTTTTAGGTCTTGTTTGAAACCCCTTTTTTTTACTTGTTAGCTTTCCCCCAACACCACTGACTCAGGCTTTTGTGTTGTTACCTTTTGTTTTGTGTTGCTGGTGCTTGTGTTTATGTGTTACTCTTATGCTATTTTTATTCTTTTGAAGCTGTTTTGATGTTCATCCGGGCTGCACAGTGGTTAGAGCTGTTGCCTTGCAGCAAGAAGGTCCTGGGTTCACTTCCCGGCCTGGGATCTTTCTGCATGGAGTTTGCATGTTCTCCCTGTGCATGCGTAGGTTCTCTCCGGGTACTCCGGCTTCCTCCCACCGTCCAAAAACATGACTGTTAGGTTAATTGGTCTGTCCAAATTGTCCTTAGGTGTGTGTGTGTGTGTGTGTGTGTGTGTGTGTGTGTGTGTGTGCGTGCGTGCGTGCGTGTGTGTGTGTGTGTGTGTGTGTGTGTGTGTGTGTGTGTGTGTGTGTGTGTGTGTGTGTGTTGCCCTGTGATGGACTGGCTCTCTGTCCAGGGTGTACCCGCCTGATTGCCCATTGACTGCTGGAGATACCCCCCCGGCGACCCTACGTGGACAAAGCTGGTTCAGCCAATGGATGGATGGATGGATGATGTTCATCCATGTTTATATTTACTGTTCAGCACCCTGGGCTTGCGTTAAGGTGGTAGAAGGTGCTATACACATAAATCTGATTTGATGTTCTGATGTGCATTTCTTGTGAGGAGCAGGGACCTTTCAGTCTTGTCCCTTTGGACTGTCTCGAGCGTCTCCTCTGTCTTTCCTCAGACGGTTGGAGCCACAGACTGGGAGATGTTCCAGTTTGACGGCAGGTTCTTCCTTGCCGTGGCCAACAGTCAGCAGCTGTCCCGGCGCGGCCCCAGTCTCTACAGCATCAACTCCACCGTGTACGAGCTCAACACCTTCACACGGACCTTCATCAGGTTCCAGGACATCTTGACCCACAGGTGAGCTCATCTGCTCGCCACCAAAGGTATTTATAGTTAATCCTGAAGGTTTGGGTTCTCACATGGTTTAATGTATTATTCAGAATCAGTGTTCTGGCTGGTTACAGGCTGATCCAGGAAACTCAGCAGGACATTGGCGATGCTGAGGGGACTGTTTGTTGTTGTTGTTTATTTGTCCCGGTCGGGTCATGCCAAAGACCTTAACAATGGGACCCAACACCTCCCAGTTTGACACTCAGCTTTAAGGGGTTGGATTGGGGGTTTGAACCACCAAATTGTTCCTGAGTGCAGCTGCAGCTCCCCGTGGGGGTGGGCCTGATGTGGACGTGTACCTTCTCCAGTGTGATGAATTAATGCCTTTTTAACTTTGTCTTTGCTGTTGTTGGGCCCAGCGCTGTGGACTGGGAGTTCTTCACCCTCGGAGATGAGAAGTTCCTGGTTGTGGCTAATTCTCATGACGGCAGCTCGTACTCTCTGAACAGCATTGTGTACAGGTGTGCTACATTGGTTTGTACCTGTCCAGGTGTTGTGTCTGAGCCTGCGTAACCTGCGGCGTCTGTTTCAGGTGGCAGGGCTATGAGGGCTTTGTCCCCGTCCACAGTCTGCCCACGTTTGGCTGCAGGGACTGGGAACACTTTAGCACTGACCAGGGCTCCTTCCTGATATACTCCAGTGCCACCTCTAGACTCAGCAAGGTGTTCAGACTCAGAACATACTGAAGACTGGTCCGGACCAGACTACCACCACTTTCATATTCTGCTGGCATCATGGCTCTTAGGGCGGAGCCACAACTCAACCTGTATGCTTTTTACATCTGCAGACATTCAAAGAACTCTTTACTCATGAAGCCCTTTGTTAGTTTGATTTCAGTCCACAACACCTGATCCAGTCCAGAACACCCGATCCAGTCCACAACACCCGAATCAGTCCAGAACACACCTGCTGCAGGTGGGTTCTGGTCAAGTGAGCTGAGATCACAAGCTAAAGAAATGCTGATTACTTAGAAATATTAAAGCCCTCATCAGGTCCATCAATAAAACAAAATGTTTGATCTTAAAATGTTCAAACTGATCTCAATCAATTATTTTTAAAGAATTTTTAAATGAATCTTTTTTTTTTTTAGCATTTTTTAAATGTATTTACTCTTTATTTAACCAGGAAGGTCACACTGAGTTTAAAAACCTCATTTTCAAGGAAGTCCTGGCCAAGAGGCAGCAAAAGTTACAGAACTTTTCAGTTGCACAGACATGCACAAAGTTACAGAGGGCAGTTACAACACAGGGAATTCATAGTTATATAAATAATTTTAAGATAATTTAAGACTTTTTTATGTTACATTTAAATATTTCATTATTGTTTTGTAAAGATTGTCTTTGAAGCTTCACTAATAAACATATATGAATTTTAACAGGCGTCCTTCAGTCATTTATGATCCTAGAAGAGTTTCTAACTGAATGAGTTAAAATGTAATTAATTGTTTAGAAATTGACAGCAGCTTTTTATTTAGGAGAAATATCTGTAAACATGTTGACTTTGGTTAACGGGCTGTGAGCTCTTCCTGCCGCCAGATGGCGCTGTGGTAGCGGTGGGATGTATTCTGAGTCTGTGTGGAAGGTGATGCTCCCGGTTTGAACGCGACGGGACCTGACTAGAAGGATTCTTCCCGGTACCGGAGGTTATCTGTGAGCGACGAAGTAACGGCGGCGCAGCAGCGGCTACAGGTAGCGGGCATTGTGTTTGCGGTGTTAGCATACTAACATGCTTAGCTTTCAAACGGAGTTGTTGATTTGCTTTCGGTAGAAAGTTCCGTCATGGAAACGTTCCACATTTTAACGGAGGTTACAGAACAGTTCGGGTTCTAGTTCTGCTCGTTCGTTCTTTTTGGACCGTCAGCAGTTTCTTCTGTAGGATTAAACTCGAGCCGATTATGACTGAATGTAGCCGAGGCTTACCGTCACTGGGGTAAAGCCAGCCACTCGCCATGACGCTAAAGTGAGACCTCACTTGGTTTTGCTAGGCGCACGCGTTCACAGCTTTACGGTAAACGCTCGGGCCACTGTTTTTCAAAATAGAAGCCCAACTCAGAAATGTATTTTCTGACTGCTTGTATGAAAAAAGTTAAATGGAATGGAATTCAAATGTTACCAAATTATATCTATATCGCCATTTCAACCACTGTTTTTCAAAATAAAAGCTCATATCAGAAACTTAATTTCTGACTGATTGTTAAGAAAAAACATTAAATGGAATTCAAAAGTTACAAAATTATAGTTATTTTGCCATTTTAACCAGTTATTCAAAATAAAAGACCATCTCAGAAACATATTTTCTGACTGATTATTTTTTAAAAACTTTAAAAATAGATTTCAAATGTTACCGAATTAAAGTTATATAGCAGATTTGTTCAGTTTTCCTAAATAAAAGCCCATATCAGAAACCTATTTTCTGACAGATTCAAACTAATACCTCTTTGAAAATGGTATTAAATCGTTCATTCCTCTACGTTAAAAAATGTGTTAAAAAACGTCCCTGTTATGCCATCATCTGGTGTGGATGGATGAGTACCAGACCACCTCCCGTTCATAAAAAAAGTTTAATCCAAAATGTGGAATTTCATTAAGCTTTTTGAAAGTGGTTATATATCATTCATTCCTCTACTTTGAAAAAAATGTTCAAAATAACTTCGCTGTTATGCCAGTATCTGGTGTGGACAGCTGTGTACTAGAACACCTATAGTTTATAAAACCAAAGTTTCATCCAAATCTGATTTGGAATTTCAAAATAAAACCTCTTTGAAAATTGTTATAAATCGTTCATACCTCTACTTTGAAAAAATGTTTTTAAAAAAAAAACTTCCCTGTTAAGCCAGTATCTAGTGTAGACAGATGAGTACTAGACCACCTCCCCTTCATAGAAAAAGTTTCATCCAAATCTGATGTGGAATTTCAAAATTAAAGCTCTTTGAAAATGGTTATAAATCATTCATTCCTGTATATTTAAAAAAAACTTCCCTGTTATGCCATCACCTGGTGTGGATGGATGAGTACTAGACCACCTCTGGATTATAAAACTTTTGGTTACTGTCATAACCCCTGTTCTCTGAGTAACATGAGTGAGATGTCTCACTATGGGATACGCCCCTCCGCGGATTCCTCAGAAGCACTTATCTCAATACGCCAATCCTGATTGGCCAGTGACTGTAACGTACGTGTCACCTGCTACTATAAGTAGCAAACGTCCCAACGCACGCACCATTCAAGATAAACACCTCTTCTCGCTTCGCCCAGCAAGAAGGGTTGTCTGGTGAGACATCTCACTCATGTTACTCAGAGAACCGGGGTTACGACAGTAACCTAAAGTTCTCTTTCTTAACATTCATTTCGATGTCTCACTATGGGATGTGGTAGGGCTGGGGGTAAACGATTATTTTTAAAACGATTATTCTGACGATTATTTTATCGAATAGTCGACTATTCTAATGACTATTTATACAATTAATCTAATGATTATTTTTCTATTGCACAGTTAATAAAAAACAAAAAATCTCTAATAAATTCCTCAAAAAAATTGATAAATTGTTACTGTAAGAGAATAAACACTACAGGCCTTCCATTTTGTATAACACTGCTTTTATTGTGTTGGTTGGTTATGTTCTGGTGACGTGTAGAACTTGGGAGTGCAGGCTGCTGCCTGAGAGGTGGTTGGAGATGGAGTGTCTCCATGCTGCTTTGTTTTGGTCACTTATGTGTGTGAGGCGAGTGGTGTTACGACCCTTCCTGGGGAGTTTGGCTCGTGTGCAAAAAGGAAGGGACAATAACGGGATTTAAAAGTTAAAATGATGATCAGGTTTATTTACAACTACACAAAAACATAAATCTTTCCATCCACAGGTTGGGAATAATAAAACTAATTATGCCTGTGGGGAATTAAAACAAAAGTACAAATAAGTAGGGATGTCCCACTGGGCAAAGATTACTGGGTTCTGGACCAAAATAAGAATCTCCAAAGGTCCAACTCTAAAATGGGTGGTTAAACCAAACTCAAGGTGATATTTTAAACGAAACCAAAAACCCACAACACTCTAAATGTAATTAAAGGGTGATCTACGCCACAAAAAAAGATGAACTCTAAACCAAAACGTAACGGCTAATCCAAACGCAAGAAGCTGTTAGCGAAAATGTTAACAGTAGTTTTACCAAAGTTAAGTTCAAGTTACCAAGTTTAAATAAACCAAAAACACCCAGCAGCAAACAGGCCAGCACGGAGGAGAGACTGCTACCACCAAAACAGCTCTCCTAATGTCTGAAAGAAGCTCCTCTATGAAGGGAGAAACTCTACCGGTGATTTTCTACATCTACGATAGAGTCGGAGCAGCGCATCTGACCCCGGAAGTTGTTGTCCGTTGCGGGGAGACAAAGGTGGGCAAAACAGGAAAGGAATCTAGTAGCGGACGGGCATTGTTCCAGGTCTTCGGTATTTGGCGGAGATTTTAGTGAAGGCGGAGAAGAGGGCGAACTAGAGGAAAAACAGGCAGATTCCTCCTCTATTTACAAACTGCTGGGGATGCAACAAGTGGGCGCGGTGCGTCGACTACCGGATCTGACATTGACAAATTTTTAGAATCGAGCCGTCAACGTCATCGAGGCTTCGCTACAGCTCTAGGATATGGAGACTCCTGTATTGCCAGACAGCTTATCCAGCGATCACCAACCTACAGAGGTACGACTTGGCCTGCTGAGGACCCCGCACCCAGAATCGTGTGGGTCATTGCAGGGATCGAAACGTCAAGCTTATAGAAGCGTGCAAATGCAAGTGGAGAAGCCCAACTTGCTGCAGCACAAATCTCCTGGACGGACAGCCCCCGAAAAAGGGCCCAAGAAGCTGACAGGCCCCTAGTAGAATGGGCCCTGAGCCCTACAAGTGCCTGAATGCCCTGACAGGAGTAAGCCAGTGAAATAGCCTCCACAATCCAGTGGGAAAGCCGCTGGTTTGTGACTGGTTTCCCCTTACGAGGCCCACCCCATGTCACAAAAAGCTGGTCCTCCAGCGAAGGTTCCCTGTCCGATTAACATACTCATTGAGCAAGCAAATCGGACACAGCTTGTGCAACCGCTCCTCCTCAGGAGAGGAGAAGGGCGGTGAGTAGAAAGCTGTGAGGAGAAAAGGAGCCCACTACCTAAGGCACAAAGGCAGGATTGGGCTTCAGGGACACCATCATGTCACCTGGTGCGAACTGGGTGCAGGATGGGAGCACAGAGAGAGCCTGTAAGTCAGTAACTCGCTTTGCAGATACCAAAGCCAGGAGTGGCACCACCTTAAAGTCCTTTTCAGATAGACATTCTGGAACATTTGTGGACAATTCAATCAGGATTTTAACCGGAACTGTGTTTTCAGACACACCACTTTTGTACTGGAACTTGTCCTTTCGGCTGCGTTCACACAGCAGGGAAAAGTTCCAGATGTTTGACGGCGGGGGGGATCGGACCCATGTTAAGAAGAAGAAGAAAATATCATTTCTATAGCGCCTCTCAAGATAAAAATCACGAGGCGCTTAAGCATAATTCTGCGCACACGAAGACGCATAAGAGACCTGGATGATGAAGCTCAATGGTTAAAGGAATCACTGAAGCGGTGTGAAGCGCTCCGTCGCGCGTCTAGACGGTACCGTAGGAGGCGAGCTGCCGTGGTTCGCCGCATGCTACAGTAGCGGGCTATCTAGGTGCGCACAGCGTCCCCCGGTCCCCTCCTCCTCCCCCTCCTCCCTGTCCGGAACTTTACCTCACCAGTCTGAAGCAGCCACCCTGTCCGTAACAAGTCCGGACCTGTTACTAGGGGCTTCGTCCAGTTAAATTCCGGAACACGTTATCCGGATGTTTGTATTCAGACAGAAAGGTCTTACGGACAGAGTCCGGAACATTTCCGTTTTTCATGGCCTGTCTGAAGGGGGCTTTAGAGACAGGATCTTAAGGTCCAGGCTGTCCATAGGCTCAAATGGAGGCCCGGAGAGGGCCGACAGCACCAAGGACAGATCCCATGAGGGCACCAGGGGTCGAGACACAGGGAGAAGCCTGCGCGCACCCCTCATGAAGCTACTCACCAGGGGGTGTTGACCTGCCAATGTCTTCCCAAAACCCAAGTGTCAGGCGGAAATGGCTGCTAGGTACACTTTAATGTTGGAGAAAGCCTTCTTCCCATCCAGCAAGTCTTGCAGGAAAGACAGAATGACATTCACAGGGCATTGGGAGGGTGAGACATCCCTGCCCTGACACCAGGCTTCAAACACCATCCATTTACAGTCAAATAGGGACCTAGTGGAGGGGGCCCTGGCATTCTGAATGGTTCGAATCACCGTCTGGGGCAGCTCTGCTGACCCTAACCCGCACCCCTCAGGGGCCAGGCCCACAGGGCCAGCCGTTCTGGATGAGGATGGAAGATTGAGCCTCCAGCTTGGGACACTAGGTCCCTGCGAAGCGGCAATTTCCAAGGTTGGCCTTCCAGTTCTTCTCATCTCCAACAACGATGAGTCAACCACAACGATGAGTCAACCTACAGAAATGAAGTGGAGAGACTAAAGAGGTGATGCCAAATTAACAACCTCCACCAAAACCAAAATTGGTAGTAGACTTCAGGAGGAAACGCTCTTCAGCACATCCAGCTGAACATCTCCTTTAAGCCCCATGAGATGTCTAAGCTGCAGCTGTTACACACCTGCTTAGACTCC